CTAAAGTTCAATTTTGTCTAACTCTCCGAATTAGCAAAAATTTGGGCAGCACTCCCTTTAGATAATGAGGCTTTCCAAATTTTTACTAAGTCATATATAAACTTTAGACAAGTTGGATTTGCTGAAATTTCGGCAGCGCTTCCCGTAGAGAAAGTAGCTTACCAAAATTTATACAAAGCCAAGTATAATAAAAGATCCTAGAAAATGCGAGAATTGACCTAAGAAAAATAAAGTTAGCCAAGAGAATGCAGAAATTGAAACTAACTCCTATCGCTCTAGCATGTGGCGAGCCTCTAAAGCGACTACCTGTCAAACTAAAACTCAACCCAAGTAGTAGCCTCACTCGGTCACATGCAATGCCAAGCCACAAAGGTAAGTACTCTCACCATCCCAAAGCATACATGAACAGACAATAGTTCATGATCTCTCAATGCTTTATCCCTTATACCCCACTTACATAAGGCATAAAGTCAAATCGTCCAATCTTATGGAACATGCCTGACTCAGCCATTAAGTATACACGAACAGGTTGCACGACTACTTTTTTCTTCCTTTGGGCGTATGATTAAGGCGTTCATCTTATAAGCAAGGCTCAGCCACCGGGAGCTCTTTAATATCCAGATTATATATATCTTTCTGCGCTTAGTGTTTAACTGTTGGGCGTAGGACTGAGTCGTTCATCTTAGAACAAGGCCTGGCCTGCCCAGGGTTACCTTTAGTTATACTCTTAGTTATACTCTCTTCATTTCATGATAAGCTATAGCCAGACCGTATAATCTTATGGAACGCATGCTTGGCTAGCCTGTTCATACATAGGATAGTATAAGGTATAGCCAAAATTTAATCTTTTGGGTTCCAACATGTGCGAGGCATTGGGCCAGACCCTCCAATCTTACGAAACTGGTCTGGTCCTCTGTCGGGTTCGTTTCTCTCTGATCCTACTGTGTGTGGCATGAGTCCAAAGTCGTCCAATCTTATGGACATGCTTCGCTCTCAGCAAGAGTTACCCCATCAGAACAAAACAGGAAGGGGCTGAGCCGTCCAATCTTATGGACTTGCTGAGACCTCCTCGACCAAAAACAAAAGAAACAGAACAACCCCCAACCAAACATGGCAGCCAAACCCTCCAATCTTATGGTACAGGTTCGGCCCCTGAAAAGTCAACCACAGGCAAACCCTCGCAATTCAGCGCAATCAGACCGTCCAATCTTGTGAAACTGGTCAGACCCTCCAGGCATTTTGAAAATAAAGCACAGCGGTCAGGCCGTCCAATCTTATGGACATGTCTGACCCCATAGGACCCATTCAGGCTCAAGCAAAACCACCTTTCACCCTACCCTTCCCCCAGATGCAACCCCCTTGTGTTCACAATCTGCCTTCAGGCAATCAACAAACTGAAACTGCGATTGCACACACATTCCTTTATTTAATCTGACTTGTGCCCTACCCGTCAATCCAAAGTCAAAATAGGGGTACACGCAACATACTCAGTCAAACACAGCAAGATGTACAGGTAGGGGTTATGTCAGGGTATATAGAGGGAAAGCAAATGGTTACCTTTCAGTTCCCTGCCTCCAGAGCCTCGCCTAGGCTCCGGCAGAGCTCCCGCAATCGGTGGGGCAACCTCCCACAAAGGCCTTGGCACGGATTACGGGTTGCAATCCCACCTGCCGCCTTCCTCTCAAAACCAATGGACTAGATTTAGAGAAAGAAGGGCAGAAGTAGAAAGGTTTAGTCTCTCAGATACAAGAATGGTGCACTCAGACTCGCGGGAGAGGGCCTTAATACCTTCGATCGCCTGAGGGTCCCGCAATGGCGGCCAACAATCGCAGCTTGGCCAATCCTGGGTCAAACTGCCGCAATCAATCCCCTGGCGAGCTCTCAAATCGCAGCATTTGCCCCTCCTCTCAAGCCCCTGACTTCATCTCCTTCCCACACTTTCCGCCTTTTGCAGCAAACAGCCAACCCGCAGCCAACTCAGCAACTGCAGTAGCAAAACACACAGCCACAGTTGACAGCAAGACGCACAGCTAGAGACACAACCACAAAAGGCAGAGCGGTGCACAGCGTAGCAAGCATACGGCGGCTCACGCGATTGCACCAGGCAACAGCACAGCATCCCGTCGTCACAGTCCTCGAATGCAGCAACAGTCTTGGCACAGTCAGCAACTGGTTATGCCCTGTGCCCAACCAATAGCGACAACAGTTGTACCCAGAGTGACGCAACAGTCCGCAGTAGACTTCGCAAACACTGTCGTAGTGTGGTGGTCAGGGCAAGCCGTGGGATCCTCAGCAAAGGAGCAGCAAGGGTGCTGCAACTTCACAATCTGCCCTTCCCGTTCCGTAATTCCATCGTGCCCCAACCCAATACCAGCTGCATTTTGCAATCGGGTCGTAACGGACAATGACAGTCAGCAGCAGCTCGTTGCTACTTCGGCAAGTAACCCAGCAACAGCTTCCATCAATACCTTGCATACAACCGCTGGACTCTGCAACAGCTTACGATGCAGACCCCGCCATGTCGCAACGCTGTTTAGCAGCTCTAGTTCATCCAGCAGCCCGACCGGCAAGTGATTGTCACCTCCAATCTTTGTTTGCGGATTCGGCTGGGTCCGCTGGTCCGATAAGGCTCAGGTACGTACCCTCATGTCATCACCCCCGTTTCCTTGTCCTTCTCTGCGTCCTCCCTCTGTAGGCAGGTTGTTCCCACCGGAGAACAACCAGCTAACTTTCTGGCCCACAGACAGGTACTCAGCCCGTAACTCCCCCCTTTCTTACCAAGCCGCCATGATGAACGCGAGCTTCAGGCCACACCTTGAGCAACGACCGAGGCCTCGACCATCATGAGCGAGGCGAAGATTTGGGCGGGAAGAAGAGCGGTACTATGACCGCGAGGGGCAGCCACATACGCGGCTAAAAGGTAAGTATCCAACGACTCCCTTCCTGATTTTGACGCCCTTGGCCTTCCCGCGGCCAACCCGACTCCCTTCCTGTTATTGACGCCCTCGGCCTTCCCGCGCCGTATGGCCCGACGGTCTTCGAATGTCGGGGGAAAGGAAAACGTCCAATCGTCGGACCCCCCCTTTTGCGCATGGCCATGCAATCCCGCTCTGTATCGTTCCAATGTCTGGGATATCCTGGAGGATCCACACCGGCCGACGCCCCCCCTGCTTCTCCGTATGCACCTGGCGCAACGCACGACCAGATTCCTTGTGGATCTTTGTGCCCCAATCTCATACCAGTGTCCCAACGGATCGGACCGTGCGATGCCCCGTGGCGGCCCCAAAAGCCACGCGGTCTCCTTGCCCACCCCTTCCACGGTTACTAGTGGGAATCACGGGCCGCCGGCCTAGTGCCGGGTGGCTAAAGGCAGGGGTAGGCCGTAGACCCTAGAGAAAAAAAAGAAAGAAAACAACACCAACCCAACACCCCACGACACGGTCGGGATTCCCTGAGGCGTGCATAACCCCTTAAACTCTTACCCCGTGGGTAGACGTGGGCTCGCAGCCACGTTGTGCTGGCTTGCAGCCATCCAATAGGGGTTGCGCCCTAGAGGTGCTAACCTTTACCGTATAGCTTGGTATTCCTCAATATGCCTTAGGATTAGCGCCGGTGTCTAGACGGTGCGTCGCAAAACAAACCACAGGCCCACTGCGGGACTACGCAGGGGTCTGTCTCACTTTCATAGGTGTTTACCAGCTCCCTATGGGACAACATAGGGAACACGGCCCCCGTGTCACGATCACAAATAATTTCACCGCTAGGCTCATACCAGGCTATGGCCTATTGACTTGATCAGAGACAACAGACCACACATCCCAGAACATCTTTATGCACTGACTTGCGACCTTCTCAGTTCCACCAATGGTTCCGACCGTAATCTTGGTTCCTTTCGTCAGACTGTATCACTCAAACATTGCTTACCATGTCATTAAATCTATTAACCGCTTTTCACATGAAGGAGGTCTCTCTCAATAGGTCTCCCAGCCATCCCTCTCTTCTTATAGGATAGACTATCACGTGCCATGGTTCTTACAGCCCCGCCCTCCTTTGGGGATGGGTCTGTCAGTGAACAACTCTTCCACCTTCCATAATCTGAAGGGGTCTCAACCATAGAACAACTCCAACTAAGAGGCCTTCTTATGGTCCGTCTCTCTAACTTAGACATGAAACGACTCAAACCGAGGGGTCAACTTATGGGCCCCCTCCACAGCTCAGCCATAAACATTCGGCATGGAAAGCATCCGAGCCTTACAGGCTCGCAAGACCCCTTAGGGTCCTCGCATATCTGTTACAAAACAGCCGCACTGCCCCCCCTTATACTCGGCCGTTTCGCCTGCCCAAAAGCAGAGAGCGCGAGTATACCGGGGAGTCGACGGTATACCATTCACACAGTACAAAATAGATGAGATGTATCCCTCACATCTCTCACACAAAGCCATCATACATTGGGATAACGCCACACATGTGAGAGTGATCGTGACCGTCACAAGAGTAAGTCCCACAGAGTCTGGAATCAAAAATATACTCGAGAGCAAAATATCCCCCTCAAGTCTCAATACAACACTTAACTCAAGCTCTCACACACACAACTTGCAGGATGTACCTAGGAATAGGATGCCTGCCCCAATGAACAACTTAAACACTCAGCTCACTGTTCCACTCTACAGGGTAGACTCACACCCCAGGTATTATGGCTCTTAGGATCCAATCAGAAACGTAAACAAGGTTTCCAAACCTCCAAAACTAATGTACACATCACATAGTCACAGGCATCTCACAACTGAATCTCATCCGCCGAATTGTATCACACACAAAACCCAAAGACCGATCAAGCCCTGTCGCCCATGTATGTACAACTAGACAGGACTCTCGCGGCGAACTCGAACATGCGCACCCCTAGAACCCACTCAACCGACTCAGAGTATGTACAACCCTAACCCGCCCTCTGTGTACAGAGGAACTCTAGTCCTACTGTCATATGGGCAGACCAGCCCCTAGTCACTCATGACCTCTTGGTTCTGCCTATACAACTATGCCTTAACCCCATCTGGAGCCCGCTCTACCACTCGCCCCTGTCTGTCATACATCCTCCCACCGCTCTCTGTCACTCTCGCAACCGCCTTATCCTTGAGGAACTCTGGGCATTCAAGAGCCCTAAGTACGCCATGCTTGCAGAAGAAGCACTGATCGTCTGGTCTCCCCTGACACCTCCTCTTCTTCTTCTGGGGTCCTGGCAACGACGGTGTCTCACTGGCCTCTCTGCTCATCTCATGGCTCTGGGGCATACTCCATGACTCCGCCAGTCCTGCCTCCATCATCTGGGTACTCGGCCCTGCTAGCATCTCACCTCCCTCGGGTCGGTACGCTGGAGTGTCCAATCTCAGTGGCCTACCCTCGCGGACCCCTCCCATCGTAGTCGCCTCCTCGTCTCTATGCAGGCCAGAAGGTTGTGGAGTCACGACAGTCGCTGTCCCGCTCATAACCTCATGCAGCTGCTCTGAGATGTGCTCTCTTGAGTCAGCTCCAGTAGCCCAAGAGCCTAACTACGTCCTCAACTCCCCCATCTCTGGCACACGCTCTGAGGCCTCCTGTCTCTGTGGCCTTCTTGGTGGCATCTCCAGCTCCACAGCTGCCACTAACTCATCCAAACAAGATACCTCCCCCTCCGTCGCCTCAGGCTCCGTGGACTGCTGCCCCTGTGAAGGTGCCCTCCCGCACTTCCAAAAGGATCGTAGGGGACTCCTCTGCGGGGCCCCCTCCCGCCAATGGAGGTCGGGGCCTCTGCACTAACTCGACCGCAGGGGTCTCAATCGTCATAGGGGTGACCTACTGTGAGGCCAACTCTGTAGGAGCCCTGAAGCTGAAACTCTCCTCCCCGGCTTTCCGCCTTGCTTCCGCCTCCGCCGGGTCCAGGAATACCTTTCCCATCCCTTCTCGCGGGGATGACGCCGCTGCCCCTCCCCGTCCGAAGAGCCCCTGTACTCTCTCCCCCTGGATACCATATCGTCTCTGCTCCGTCTTCTCGACCACCTTGGTGGCCGAGAGCCTCTCCACAATCGCTGCCATGTCCCGGAGCCTCCTCTCCCATTCCGCCTCCTTGGCTTGCATACGGGATCTCCACGCTCGGTTCTCTGCCCTCTCCTCCATCAATTGGGTAGATAACTGCCCCACCTCCATCTTCGAGGCTGCCAGCTCATCACTAAGCATGGAGTATCATTGGAAGGACGTGATCGCTACGTCACGTACTCTCCCGTCGGTGCGCTCGATTGCCATCTTGGCGACTGAGAGTCCCAGGTCTCCAGTTTCTCGTGCCTAGTCCACCCTCTCGTCCTCTTGCCCTGCTTCTCGCGATATCAAGGGGGCGGCATCCCTCTTACCCTCATAACTGGCCCCGGTCTCCTCGATCCTCTGCTCGCTCGTCGGCGGGTCGATTGGTGGCTTCGGCGCCTCCCCTGTGGCCTCCATCCTAACCTTCTCCTGGTATAACTCCTCCAGACGTACCTGCATTCTCGCGTGCTTCTCTTCCGCCGTGTCCACAGGTGGCCTCCTCGTCCACGCCTCGTGGGCCTCTCGTAGTGGGGCCCCCGTACTCACCCCCTCCTCAGCGGGTCGCAACTCTGGCAGTGGCCCCTCGGAAGTCCGCATCTAAGTGTCCAAGGGCTCAGTCGCTTGCTCGGCTAACTGTGATGCCTCAGTAGCAGGTGCCCCCGTCCTCTCATCCTCCTGTCGCCCTTCTGCCCCTGCCCGCATCGGAGGCGACGTAGTGATTTCCGGGGGCGGTACTGGAGCCTCCTCGCTGTCCGGCTCCGGAATCCCCTCAGGCCAATACTGTCGCGTCTGCTCCGGAATCGGGGCAGGAGGAGGGGTATCATCCCTGACGATAATAACCTTCTCGCCTCGCAGCCCTCCTGGCCCACGCGGCTCCGCCTCTGGCTCGTCCGCTACTAGCTCATATCGTGTTGGCTCATCCTGACCTGCTCCTAACTGCGACGTCCCCCATTGGGACGCATCAAGATGGGCCTCCAGGCTGTCGAGCGGTGTCTTCGATGGTACAGCCTCCTCCTCCTCTGGCGGCATCGTTGACGGGCCCCGTAGATCACTACCCGTGATCCGACGAAACTCCACCTGCTCAAGTCCATGGGCAGGTGGTAACTCCGCTGCCTGAGACGGCCCCGCGGCCTGAACTGGCTCTACTGCCTGGGCGGACTCCACTGGCCCCTCTCGCTTGGCCAAGGCCTTTCGGCCTCCTCTAGTCGTAGCGGCTCCTCTCGCCTCTGGGTCCGGCGGCCTCTTGCTTCTCTGACGCCTCTCCACCCTGGGCAGGTCTCTCCATCTCTGGCCGTCGAAACGCCTGCCTCAGTTGAGCCTGGTAGTCCTCCCAATCACGTGTCCTATCTCGAATCTGCCTCGCCATCGGCCTCTCCACCCTCTGTGTCCTGAGGGGCAACGTCTGCATTTACTCCTCCTGCCCACCCCCCTGGTCGCGCATATACTGCTCGTAGGCACGGATGAACTCTTCCGCATTGCCTTCCTCCAACCGAATAGGCAGCCCATCTGGTCCCCGCGGCGAAGCCCTTAGCCTCTGCATCCTCGCTTCTACATCCTGCCAGGTCAAAGCCTCCTCCCGAATATGCGCGATGGGCTCCTCAAAGCGCCCAACTCCCCTCAGGTGTCGTATCCTCTCTAAGGTAGACCAGCCCTCCCGTGCCGCATGTGCCTGGTAGGAGTCCAGAAAAAGCTCTATGTTATCGTCGTTAAAGATAGGCGTAGACTCCCTCCCAAACGGTCTGCACAAGTCATCCTCTCCTGATGCTCCCTGAGGCCTCTGTCGTGGCCGCGCGCCCCTCCCGCCCCTCTGCATGGCTATCTTCGAAAAGTCAGACCTGCACAACAAGCGAAAGAAAGCAAGCAAGTACACAACAAGGTTAACCATCAGCCCATCAAACTTTATGATAACACACATGCCTTTTCCTACCCCCTCACCTGTCCTGACCATAACGTGCAACACCTCAAGGACTAGTTCACTCTAAAGAATGCAGAGTTTTTCTTCAGCCTGGTCCCTGATACCAAATCCTGCCAGCCTGTCCCGTCCAGCTCTTCGATCTGATAGGCCCCAAATTCGCCACATCGCAAGATTCTATAGGGGCCCATCCATCTTTTGTCGAGCTTCCTCGACCATTGCTTCTCCAGAGAGGAGTCGTATAGTAACACGATGTCCCCCACTGCCAACGGCTTCTTCCTTACTCACGCCATCTGGTCCCACCTCATCTTATCCTCCATGCGGCTTCTCTTTACCTAACCAGCGGCCTCTCGCAATCTTTCCTTGGTCGCCTCCACTTGCCGCGCCCAAATATCGAGCAGTTCTTCGAAGGACAGGTTCACTTCCAAGTCATGGCGTCTCCACGTCTTCATAAAGCTTTCTATGGGAAAGGTGGCGTGCCTCCCGTACCACAGCGTGGCCGGCGCGTACTTGGTAGTCTTCTTCACAGTAACATTCTCCACGAAGAAAGACGCTCGCAGGAACTTCGGCCACTAACTAGGCTTGCCCTCTGTCCACTTAGCCAAGAGGTTCGTGATGGTACTGTGCCCCCTCTTCACAGGAGCGTTCGCTTGAGGGTGCGCGGCCGTAGTATAGTTGGCCACTACCCCATACCCTGCAAGCAAGGTTCGCACCTTATTGCAGGTAAACTCCGATCCTCGATCTATCACGAACTCCTTGACAAAAGGATAGCGCAGGTAATACTCTTCGATGCAACTTGCCAAAACTGGGCCAGTCTTCGTCCGGATAGCCCGACCGTCCACAAACCCGGTAAGGTTATCCCGAGCATCGAAGATGTAATTGCACCCATTTTTTCCAACTGGCATGAACAACAGGTCCAGGTGTACAACCGCACCCACTTCCCTTTCCAACCTTGGGTGCAGAGGCTCTCCCGGCCTTTGCGCTGACCTCTCCTGGCAAGGTACACAGGATTGGCGGTACTTGATGACCATCGTCAACATTCCATCCCAACGGTAGAGCTCGCTTATCTTCGCGCATGTGGCACCTATCCCTCTATGCGCTCCTACTATACCATCGTGTAGGGCTGCTATGATATCAATCTGCCGGTTCCTCCCACGTACGATCCTCTTGGGGTTCCCGACCTGCCGCTTTATAAACAGATGGTCATCTCTTACGACGTAGAGGTGCCTCATCTTCTGCGCTTTGGCACTTGCGTCTCTATCCCTCATTTCACATGATAGGAACAACCCCAACTCCAGGTAGATCCCATCATACTCCTCCGCCCGAAACGCCTCCTTGATCTCTCCCTCTTCGAACTCATCGTCCTGGCTCTCAGGAATCAGGATTTCACTTTCCTCATGACTAAACGAGCCTCTCCGGTCGAAGTCTCCTTGCAGGAGCGTATTAGTTAGTAGATACATCCCTCCCATTAGTTGTTCATGCTCCTCTACCTGAGTGGGGCCTTCCTCTATCAACAGCCATTTCGTCACAACGGACATATTATATTTTTTGAACGAAATCAAAACTGACTTTTTTTGCTAAAATCCAGTCGGAATTTTTTGCTCATGGGGGTCCGGCGTTTCTCTAGGAGCAAAAAATTCCGACCGGATTTTGGCAAAAAAAGTTAGTTTTGATTTCGTTAAAAAAATATAATATGTCCGTTTTGACGAAATGGCTGTTTATCGTCCTCACTTCCTCCAGCAGACTGTGTGTACCTGCCAATGCCAGCTTCATCATCCAGCCGACATCCTTGCCTCCCCACGGATCCTCTTCCTGGAAGGGCTTGAGAACCAACTCCTCCCTTTGCTCGTATCCCTTCGGCGCTAGCCATATGGGGTGACTAACACAACTGGGCACTCGCAGGGACCATTCGTTTATGTGCTGGCGGACGTCCTCCTCTTGATCCAAAAACCCATCCACCGGTAGAGTGTCCTCTATTGACTCCTGATCCGCCCCGTCCCAGTTTCCAACTCGAAATTAAACATCCAAATGCAGGTCAACCATCTTGCGACGGTTGGGTCAGATGGAGTATAATTCTTCAGGGAACATGCCAGTGTAGTAGGGTCCACCCTCAAGATGAGCCTCCTGCCGAAAACATAGTTCCAGAAGGTTCTTAGGCAGTGAAGTACCGCCGGTGTCTCCTTCTTGAACTGAGAGTAGTTCCTTTCAGTTGCATTGAGGGTACGACTTTCGAACATGAGCGGCCTCTCCTTCCCTTCAGTATCTGCCTGAATCAGGACTCCTCCCAAAATAGTTGGCCCAGCGTCCGTCTCAATGACGAATGGTCTTTCCTCTATGGCCTCATAGTTCGGCGCTCCCAATACCAAGCCTCCTTCCTTAAACTCTCCCTTCATCCTACCGACCGCCTCTTCCTGGTCTTCACCCCAGACCCACTCCTGGTCCTAACGCACCAATTTCCTTAAGTGCTCCGTCTTCGTGGCGAAATCCTTCACAAAGGTCCTTTAAAACCCGCATGTCCCAAGGAAGCTCCTCACATCTGTTATCGAGCGGAAGGGCACCGGCCACTCAAGAATTTTGTCTGTCTTCTTTACGTCAGGCCGTCGCCCACTCTCATTACAGACAAAACCTAAAATCGTGGCTTCCCTCATACAATGTTTCGACTTGGGGCCGCTCGCCGTCAAGTTGTGCTCCTCCAGTAGACTCAGGACCTGATCGATGTCCTGGACATGCTTCCAGACGAAGCGTCTTACTCCCGGCATCACCTCGTCTTCCTCTTTCTCCTTTGGACCTTTGACTGCCAGGTCGTCGATATAGGGCTGGATGATATGTGGACTGACCGTCTGCATGGCTGTAATCATGTGTCTTTGCACCATCGCCACCGCATTCGTCCAACCTTGAGGTGCCACGGTAATATGAATCAGCCCTCTGGGTGTATGCATCGCCGTTACGGGCCTGTCTGGCGGGTACACGGGGAATTGGTCGTACCCAGAATAGAGGTCTATAAGCGAGATTATAGGCCTCCCTGCGCACGACTCTGACAACGCGTCCTTCCTGCGCCCTGGCTCAGGCTCCTTTCGAGGGGTTGCCTGACTGGGCGCCTGGCTGGGCTCTTGACTAGGCCCGGTCTTGGCTTGGCTCCAGGTTCGCGCCGCTTGTGGCACCCTCCCATGCGATGTGGGGGGCCTAAAGGTCATCCCCGACCTGGGGCCTGTCCCCACAGTCGCCACCCTTGGGCCCCCTGGTTGCCCTGGCGAAGGCTCCGGCCCAGAGTCATAAAGGAAGACCTCCGGCAGGTGGGCCTCCCACCTTAGGGCCTCTTCACACAAAGTTTGCAACTTCTGCTGGTACCTCCCCACCTTCTCCAACAGATCCTCCATCTTCTCCAGGATGGCTATGGTCGGCTCCCTTTTGTCCTCCTGCTCTTCGGCATCCAACTCGACAACTATTGGCTCCTCCTTTATAGTCCCCGCCTTCAGTCGCTGAGTGACCTCTTCGTTATCTCCCACAATCTCCTCGACTCTTACGGTCGGCTCTTCCTTCTCCTGCCACATCCTAAACATTGCCCGTGGTGCTGTGGGCCCTGCTGCTGCTCGCCGGAGAGCCTCTTGCCTGATTCCTCCCGGGGTCCTGGGGTCAATATGCTCACCCCACTTATCATATATATCCCCGTCCATACAAGAGGAGATTGACCCTGACAATTCATCCTCCCGCCGCCGCTCGCAGAACCGTACAGTGTGACCTACGTCGCCACAATGCCAACAGGTGGCATTTCGCCAATCAAAGCGGGGCCTCCCATACCCTTGGCCCCCTTCCTAGCCGCCTCGACCACCTTGGTTGTGGCCCCTTTTACCATTCCAACCACCCCCACGACCCCCGCCATTTCTCCCTCGTCCCCGGCCACCGCCCCCTTGACCCCCTTGGCCTCGGCCTTCATTGCTTTGGCCACCTTACCCTTGGTTTTCTCCCCCGGCCACACTAGCCTGTGAGGCCTGTTGGGAGGGCGGCGGTTGGGCCACAAACTGACCCTGAGCCGCAGGGTAGCTCGGGGGCCCCATACTTGCCGCTGGGCCCGTATAGGGGACCATCTGCTCGGGGTGAGTTTGACTACCTCCGCACGAGGTGTAGTGATAGCAACTGGGTTAGGATGCAGGCTGACAATGCGGCACCCAGTGCCCACAAGCCGGCGGCGGCCCTATATGCGAAGGTCCTGCTGACGCCGGCACCGTCGCGGTGGTAGGTGGCGGGGCAGCAACAGCTTGCGGGGCTTGCCCCTTTCCTGATCCTTGGCCTCCCGTCAGTAAGTTGCGCTGTTTCCTCTGGGCCTTAGTCAGGATCTGGAAGCCCGTCTCCTCTCCACCATAGTCCTCGTGCCCCGCCTTTTCATCCACTACCCCTGATGCCCGGCCCTGGGCCACGGTCACCCCTCTCTTCCGCACCTCGGCCTCATTGTCGTACCCCAATGCCACCAGTACATCCGTGACAATCTTCTTTACCCCCGGTGTCCTAGACGCGCTGGCATCTCTCTCCTTCCTCTTGCGTCTTTGCAGCCACACCTGGTGCTCCTCCAGCTGGTCCAGACTCCCTTCTTTCACTCCCCTGTCGATAGTGGCCCAGGTGAGCTTCTCACTTCCGCCCCCGTGGCTCGTCAGTTCTGAGGCCTCCGAGCCCGTGAGCAACCCCAAGAAGATGGCACACTCCGCTTCCTCTGACAACCTGTGCACCTTCCTTACCTTTTTCTTAAACTCGTGCACGAAGGCCCCGATCGTGGAGAAATCCTCCTTATTTATTGCCTCCAAATCTGTCGTGGTCAGTAACCCATCTCCCAGCCTATACTTTCTCCGCATCAGGTCCCCAAACCTCATCCAGTCGCCATTGGCGGCGTCCACGACCTTGCTCACTTAGGGTGGTGACTGTGCAAGACATACCTTAGGACCCGCTGTAGCTTGACCTCATCTGACAGTCCTACCAGCGCCTGCTCTGTCAGATCCAACCAGTCGGATACTCGCTTCCCTTAGAAATGGAAGGTTTCGACCTTTGGCACATTGCTCGGCGCCCTCTCGCGCTCATCCAAGGCCTCAACAAGGTCGTCGACCGTTAGAAGCTTTCTCCCATCGTCCGCCATAGCTTCTGGCATCTTGGGCTAAACGCCCTGAACTCCAACCTCCCTGTTACAAAAGACGATGGGATGCAAGAGTTCCTCTCAGCAATCCAGTCTCTCCCGGTCCTATCGGGCCAACCACTTAACCCTCGATACTTTGGACCAGGCAGACATTCCTTTCCCTCTTCCCCTTAGGCTCCCCTAAATAAGACTTATCCTTACCACAAGGCTTCCCTACGCATTTACCCCAATCGCACTATCAGTTGTACCGCCAGTCACCCAGATCATTCATACTCACAACCATCCAAACCACCACACAGTCCATCTCGTAATATTTCCCTTATCCATTCATATGCCTAGTTCTCACTCATTCCCATACCCGGATGTCGTTCCACCAGGGACAACGGTAGGCTTCCGTCATGCCCGGCAATGGCGCCAGCTGTCGGGCGCATCGGTCCGGCACCGCACGTGGCAGCGTGGGACCCTCTCGGCCGCGTCACGCAGGAGTTGGACCAACCTCATCACGAACCCACAAATGGAGTTTCCTTAGGCCGCTCCGGTCGAGTGCACCAGCCATACCTCTCGCGAGCCCCTACGACAAGATAGGGCCTACGCGAGGCACAACTTACCTCCACCATACGGGGGCTGTGACCTCCCTTCGGTGGGCGTATCCCCGCCGAGCTACCAGTCCACAGTACGAAAGCTACTCGGTTGCAATCGCAGAGGTGGACCAGCCGAGGGCGTTTCTCGTTCGCTGTAGTATAGGGCGTACGTGAGGTAATACGCCTATCGAACCCGCACGCGAACCGACATCTTGGGGGGGCTGAGGTCCCAAGCGCGACTCGTCGTCGGTCGACTAGGACGCATCCCACACACCACGCGCACACCACTCTACGAACACAAAAATAAAATACACACACACACATCCAACAACACGACAACACTCCTAGTCCCTTAGTAGTCGTACCCGAACTTTTCGACGCGGGAATCCAATAGGCGTCGCGCGCGAGACTTGGTATAAAACCGCGCGGACGCAGGGCCAACTCATATTGACTCGCAATGCAGGCGTACGCAAACAATCACAATGATGGCGTACTATGTAGTGCCCATATTCGCGAGGGCCTCGTTAATCTCGAGGGTCGCGTTCGACACTTAAGTGTCGGTTGACAGGCGCCTTGTTGGTTAATCTCTCGACGCCGGACAACCGCCATACGCGGTTGAAGATCACACACCCTCTTTTGCACCTTATGCAGAGCGGATGGTACACAGGTCCATACCTGTGGTGGCAGTCGTTTCTTGCGGCCCTGGAGGTAAGTCCTACTCCAGGCCTGGGCAAAACTCAAAGGGTTTGACGGCTGCCACGGACTATAACGTCCAACAATAAAAACTCTAAAAAGCAAAACGAATAGGCTGAGGATTCCCTTGTTCCAACCGGGGTCATGATCCTTGGGGTACCCCCCCCTCTTCGAGTGGTGCCCACGGCCCACAACAATCCCAAGCGTTCGTGTCTACGGGCGAGCCCCGCGATCCCATAACCATTAAACGCTGGTGCGGCAAAGAGGCACGCGCAGGATTTTAACATAAAGCCGCGCGGCTGCTGGTCAGTCCCATACCAACCAACGATGTCAGTCATATGTGGTAATCGCAGCTCCCGCCTCGCGATATTGAATGGCTGAAGGAATATATCATGAGGGGTTACCCCTCACGATATTGAACGGCTGAAGGAAGCGTCGTTCGGCCCTCGCGACACCTCCGCCTTCAGGGTCGGGTGTCTCGACGGGCAGTGCGGATAGGCTCTACACGAGGGGGAGTCCCTCCCCTGGAAAGTCCGGGGTTTGGAATGCCCTGGACAAGGACCCTGAGTCCCGGCCTAGGACTGACGTCTGACTAAGGAATCCCCCAAGAAGCAATAAAATTAGAGGGAAGGGTCTCCCTTGTGTCCCTTCCATCTTAGCCTTTAAGTATACTTTTTAGTACGGGGCCCCTTAGGTCCCGCGAACACCCATCGTAAGTACACCCACGCATATTCACACAAGGGAGATAGAGTTGCGACGATCACTTTTCATAGGCACAGTGGGACTCCTCACGACCGTATGTACATATATATGGGATCGCAGGCAATCCAATTCCAAATTCCGAACCACAGGGCCTACCTGCAATCACATCAGGGAATTGAACAACAAACCACGCACTACACGGAGTCAGCCCCAACCATTCTCTATACTCATACCCCTCGCTTTAGCCATGCAAGCCCCAATCTCCGATCCAACCAACCAAAATTAAATACTCAGCACCTTTGTCAAATGACCATTCAATAAAAGTCTGGGTAAAACCCTTAACAAACAATAAAGTCACCAGGGCCAGAGCCTTTTAGGTTGAGTATGGAAAGCGAGTTGGAATTGAATCGTAAACCGACGAATCGGCAACCGACCTGTTATCAGTGATAATAGAAGATGATCCTTGTAAGATCAAGTTGAATCTAGTCCAAATTTTGAATCAAGCGACCAAGAGGACCTGTAACACAGGACAGGCCAATCCCCAAGCTAAATTCATAAGTGTATGGAGATACAACTCCATAATACATTCTCACTCAAATCATCCTGGCTCACTAGGCCTGAGTCTACCCTTAAGCGGTGCCCAAAGCAAAGGTAGATCCTGGCATGATCTCTCCTATATAGAGTGGATCGCCAAAATCGTCCCCTGTCAAGATATAATATAACTCCTCTAAATCAAGAAGATTTCGGCAGCGCTTCCCGTAAGAAAAGTGCCTTTCCAGAATTTATAGCAGGCCAAATATGGAAAACAGAAATAGTCTTTGACTTTCTAAAGTTCAATTTTGTCTAACTCTCCGAATTAGCAAAAATTTGGGCAGCACTCCCTTTAGATAATGAGGCTTTCCAAATTTTTACTAAGTCATATATAAACTTTAGACAAGTTGGATTTGCTGAAATTTCGGCAGCGCTTCCCGTAGAGAAAGTAGCTTACCAAAATTTATACAAAGCCAAGTATAATAAAAGATCCTAGAAAATGCGAGAATTGACCTAAGAAAAATAAAGTTAGCCAAGAGAATGCAGAAATTGAAACTAACTCCTATCGCTCTAGCATGTGGCGAGCCTCTAAAGCGACTACCTGTCAAACTAAAACTCAACCCAAGTAGTAGCCTCACTCGGTCACATGCAATGCCAAGCCACAAAGGTAAGTACTCTCACCATCCCAAAGCATACATGAACAGACAATAGTTCATGATCTCTCAATGCTTTATCCCTTATACCCCACTTACATAAGGCATAAAGTCAAATCGTCCAATCTTATGGAACATGCCTGACTCAGCCATTAAGTATACACGAACAGGTTGCACGACTACTTTTTTCTTCCTTTGGGCGTATGATTAAGGCGTTCATCTTATAAGCAAGGCTCAGCCACCGGGAGCTCTTTAATATCCAGATTATATATATCTTTCTGCGCTTAGTGTTTAACTGTTGGGCGTAGGACTGAGTCGTTCATCTTAGAACAAGGCCTGGCCTGCCCAGGGTTACCTTTAGTTATACTCTTAGTTATACTCTCTTCATTTCATGATAAGCTATAGCCAGACCGTATAATCTTATGGAACGCATGCTTGGCTAGCCTGTTCATACATAGGATAGTATAAGGTATAGCCAAAATTTAATCTTTTGGGTTCCAACATGTGCGAGGCATTGGGCCAGACCCTCCAATCTTACGAAACTGGTCTGGTCCTCTGTCGGGTTCGTTTCTCTCTGATCCTACTGTGTGTGGCATGAGTCCAAAGTCGTCCAATCTTATGGACATGCTTCGCTCTCAGCAAGAGTTACCCCATCAGAACAAAACAGGAAGGGGCTGAGCCGTCCAATCTTATGGACTTGCTGAGACCTCCTCGACCAAAAACAAAAGAAACAGAACAACCCCCAACCAAACATGGCAGCCAAACCCTCCAATCTTATGGTACAGGTTCGGCCCCTGAAAAGTCAACCACAGGCAAACCCTCGCAATTCAGCGCAATCAGACCGTCCAATCTTGTGAAACTGGTCAGACCCTCCAGGCATTTTGAAAATAAAGCACAGCGGTCAGGCCGTCCAATCTTATGGACATGTCTGACCCCATAGGACCCATTCAGGCTCAAGCAAAACCACCTTTCACCCTACCCTTCCCCCAGATGCAACCCCCTTGTGTTCACAATCTGCCTTCAGGCAATCAACAAACTGAAACTGCGATTGCACACACATTCCTTTATTTAATCTGACTTGTGCCCTACCCGTCAATCCAAAGTCAAAATAGGGGTACACGCAACATACTCAGTCAAACACAGCAAGATGTACAGGTAGGGGTTATGTCAGGGTATATAGAGGGAAAGCAAATGGTTACCTTTCAGTTCCCTGCCTCCAGAGCCTCGCCTAGGCTCCGGCAGAGCTCCCGCAATCGGTGGGGCAACCTCCCACAAAGGCCTTGGCACGGATTACGGGTTGCAATCCCACCTGCCGCCTTCCTCTCAAAACCAATGGACTAGATTTAGAGAAAGAAGGGCAGAAGTAGAAAGGTTTAGTCTCTCAGATACAAGAATGGTGCACTCAGACTCGCGGGAGAGGGCCTTAATACCTTCGATCGCCTGAGGGTCCCGCAATGGCGGCCAACAATCGCAGCTTGGCCAATCCTGGGTCAAACTGCCGCAATCAATCCCCTGGCGAGCTCTCAAATCGCAGCATTTGCCCCTCCTCTCAAGCCCCTGACTTCATCTCCTTCCCACACTTTCNCCAACACTCAACCCCGCCCCCGCCGGCTGTTGGTCCCGCCCCCGGCCCCACACCAGCAGCTACCCCGGTCCCACGAGTGGTGGGTGTGGCCCCGGGGGGGGTCCGGGG